GACGGCGTCAACTCAGGTATGACTTCAAGCTGACATATTGACATTTCAACTACTTAACGATTATGTAAACAGAATTTTAAACCACGTATATATAAATCACAAATGTATAATACTTACCTGAGGATCGTCGAGGAGGGCCGATAACTGTCTCCCAGGGGGACATCCCTCCGCTCGCGATGATCTCCAATGATGCATCTGAGGGCACCGTGTCTCCCCTCGCTGCACAAAGCGGGCCCCTAGTACAGGGATTGTCTCATACACTCAAATCTGTAACACATACACTTATTATGCACAAATGTAATATACTAAAATTTTAACTTTGATTATATTAAACATTTACCTGCACCGCTAAGGGCAATCCATATGTATCGTATTTACGCATCGACCCCCTGGGTCTCGAGTGTACTCTGGTGAAGACATGTACAGTGTCTTCGTAGCATCTCCGGTCCCATGGATAGTTGTTGAACGCATCAATGTCGTCAACTACTTGCAAATGAAAAATGTCGATGACAGTCTTCTTGTGATGACACCTCATCACACTCTCAAGGATGTAGACCAGCCCAAGCTTCAATCTATCTAGCATCTGGTCGCACCCCCTGATCGCGACCATCAAGTCGGGTAGAAGCACTGACCCATGTCCCTGGAAGTACGTCTCGTACAATCTATTGTTTCTCTCAATGGTCGTAACGTCGCCCGTAATCCTCAGCCAAGTGATCAATGTAAACTCAAACGTCGAGAAACTGACGACCTTGCCCCCGAGGTTGAACTGGAGGGAATCGCCGTCAACTGGCCTCAGAAGCCGACATAGAAGTGCATCAATGATCTGTCTTGAGTACTGCACCTCTCGCAACTGGTACAGTGACCACAAGAAAGACTGTCATAGCATATCTCTGTGCTGATCATCGAGCAGCTCCAACACAGCAGTAAAACTCTCAAAGCTACTATTCCAAGTAGCCTTCCCCGCCATCCGTCTCAACTCCCCATCTAAATGATACTCCATCCTGCAAAAATTCAAATGTTAGAGCATTGAACAAGAGATAACAAAATAAAGCATAATCTCACAAAATCAAGGAAACAGAATTCTAACTACCATACAATACGCATTAAAATAAATTAGTTATAAAGAAAATTAATCACAAATATTACATTTGGAAAATATATTTTAAAAAAAATCAAATTAAATACATTTTCAAAAAAATTAAAGAATATAAATATTATTTAAATAAATTAGAAAAAATCAAAGGTGAAAATAAAAGAACAATAAAAGGAACAAAATAAATTGTTGATTTCGGAGAACATTATCTATTCAATTATTAAATTATATAAAAAAAGGTAATTATAAAAATTACATAAATAAATAACATCATTATTATTTAATCAAATTAAAATAAATTAATTATGAAGAAAATTAATCTTGTAATCATTTGGAAAATATATTTACAAACAAAAAATTCCAAATTAAATACATTTTAAAAAAAATGTAAAAAATATTTATATTATTTAAATAAATTTGAAAAAAAATTAAAGATTATTTCATTAATAAAAGGGGAACAACACAAAATTGTTAATTTTAGATAATATTCAATTATTTATGTTAAATAAAAGACAATTATAAAAATTAAATAAATAAATAACATAATTTAGTTTTAATGAAATAAAAAATTAAATTAATTACAAAAATTATAAAAAAAATAAAAATTAGTATATATTTCCCAAAAAAAAAATTGCAGACTGTTTAACAGTCATGGCCGATTGTTAACAGTCGGCCCATTGACTGTTAATAGTCGGTCCATGACTATTTAACAGTCGTGGGCCAGCTGTTAACAGTCGGGTTGAACCCGACTATTTTTTGACCGTCTTTCACGAAACTCGTCGGAAATCGCCATTGCCGATGTCATAGAGGTTAAAAAATTAGAAAAAAATCCCATTTTTCACCCCAGCATGCCCACAATCTAACTACTTATGCTCATAAGATCTAATTAAACCTATTAAATGTCATATTATTCAATAAATTAACCAGAACAAAAAATGTAATATTATTCCATTTTAACAAAAATTTGCAAGAAAACTAACCAGTATCGTTCTTTCTGGTGTAGATCTTGCTTCTGGTCGACGATTTAACTCACTACGATGTTGGTGTTGTTGGCCGGTGGTTGGTCGGTCAATTTTCAGATGACTGTGCGACAGTTTGTTTTTTGGTCGGTCGGTTAGAGAGTTTTTGTTTGACAGTCACAGTTTTGAAGGGTAAAATCATCCTTTTAGCGTAAAGTTTTTTTTTTAACTTAATTTTTTTAATTCATTTATTGGGTCAAAGGCCAATGTCAAAATTTGTTACAATCCAAGAGTCATTTTCGTGTATTTCCTCGTTAAATAGAGGAGCAATTCACCACTATGTGTGGACGACAATGCCAGAGCTCTAAGTGGCATAAAAGCATTTTGAACGTCAAACAACTTGCAAGGGATTTTAAATATAGGGAGTAACGATGTTAAGAGCCCTAGACGCCAAGCAATCCGCCAAATAAGTTGGGTAAGTTCACAATAATTTCGAACCCAACTTGCAAGATTTAAAATGTTTAATTGTTACACAATAATAGAATTTAAAAATAATAAAGAAAAGCTTAAACATTGCCCAAACATCCACTTACCGAATTATGTAATAGGTGATTGGTGTAGTAGTAGTTGAAGAAGTCAATGAACTAAATATTTGATTAACTTCAGGAATAACCAGGGAAGAGGCAGCAACTATGAGCCCGTAATATTCGTAATTTGATTCGAGTATCTGAGAGCTACTCGCTTATAATCCAAGTGAAATTTTACTAAGCTTTTGTTTGGCTCTTAATTTTAAAAATTATTTTTTTCTTAAATTCATTTTCAATCACATATTTAGTTCCGTTTGGGCTTCAACTTTTCAAAAATGATTTATATTTGCCTGTTTGAGCCACATTATTCCAAAGAAATACATTTTTAAACAGTGATTTGACATCATTTTAACCACATTCTTCAATAAAATAATATTACACGCAGATCAAAAACTTTTCTTTATTTTTTAACCACACATTTCCCATCAATACACTATTCAAGAATGCATTATCACCAAAATAATGTGGCTCATAAAATAATGTTTCACGTAAATTCAAAACTTTTTATTATTTTTTAACCATACATTCTCTGAAAAATCATTATTTTGAAATATATTTTTTCTCCATAATCTGATATTAACGAAACCCAAATAGGGACTTAGCCCCCGTTTGGCTCCCATTAATTTTCATTCCATTACATTTTTATTTTTCGCTCTTCTATTTTCAATCACACAATCTTTCATAAAAAAAAAATTACGAGTAAATCGAAATTTTTTCTTTATTTTTCAACCATCCATTTAAAAAAAAAAAACACTATTGCTCCCATTTTCATTTTCACAAAATGGGGGGCCAAACGGGGGATTAATAAGATTTGCAATTCGTATAAACTTTTCCATTAAAAATATTCATCAAATTTTAATAAAAAATTATTTTTTAAACTAAATCAGACATGACCTAAATAGTAAAAGAAAGTGGACAAAAATGAAACCATGTGAAATGGTCCCAATTTAACGCGTTACTAATCATGAGAACCAATATGTCAACTTGTGCTTTCTTGGTCATAAGTCTTCTTCGAAAATCTTCTTAATGCATATTTGGCTTTATACTATGAAATCATGGGTCGACCACTCTAAAGAATACACTCTGCAATAGTCTACAGGTCCTACTTAAAGGAATATATCGAAGCGACTCAACTTTCTTCTATTTGTTTAATTATTTTTTAAGATATTTTAAATTCTTAGCCCTATCCAATCCGATCCTTTTGTATATGAGAATGCGCGGATGGGTCAACAATATTAACTTCCAAAGTTGACCGAAGAAATAATGAGACTGTTCTTTCTATCTATATGTTGAACATTATAATTAATTAATTCTTCAGTTATTAAGAAGATTGAAGGTTGGTTTGATTGTGGTTTTGAAAAATCAAAAGATATTTTTGAGATTAAAAAAGTTACTTTTTGAGATTTAAAAAGGAAGAAACGCTTTGAAGAAAATACTTTATATAATCATCATTTGCACAACTAAGAATAAATGTTTATGGTTTA